TCGAAATCCTCAAAAAAAAAAAATTATCTTCACTTCCTTGAAGAAGAAGACACTCGGGTTTGAACCACATGGACCTCTTGATTTGTAGTCGAATGCTCTACCACTGAGCTATACCCCCACGTCAGCTAAGCTAAGCTTTGCTTTGCGTTCCGTAGGAACGGATACGAAAATACTTTGATTAGAAATATGCAGAACAGGACAGATCATTCCTACCTTCGAATTTTTTAAAAAAATATTTCTCCTCACTTTCCTGAAGAAGGGGGCACCCGGGATTGTACCAGGGACATCTCGATCTGCAGTTGAATGCTCTATTTTTTTGAAATGCCGCATAGCTCCGAGGACTTTAGAGATTCGTTAATGAATCTTGGACCATAGGTTCTCCTCGTTGAGCTGTTTCATCTGTTATAATTCGTGTGTAGATAGTGGGCTTGAAGGAGGACGTTATCACTAAAATTAGGGAGAGAATCCCCATGTTATTCCTATGGGGTTCCATCTTTTGATGACGTCACGATATTACAGAGATAGAAGGATGAAACTTTGGAATCACCTACTACTATGTGTATCGTTGAGATGTACGTGACCATTTACGTCATAGTTATTCCCCCCTCGGGGGAGTTTCATTTCCTTTTCCCGAGCTAGCGCCGCCCCATTTGTAACTACAGACTCCGGACAGGTTCTAATGGATTCCCCTCTTGTGTTTGCTCACAACCAGTCCCAGGTTCGAGTTGCTGGGTGCCCTGATTCTATTTTATTTAATTCTTTTAAATTTTTTAATTATTTTAAAATGACCATAACTCGGTGGCTCTCTTCAGGCGGATGTCTTAATATTTTCAAGAACGATTCTTCCCACCGAGACATTCAGTATGAGGTCTCAGGTGTCACATTCGGTTCACTTCATCTCCAGATACAGTCTGATACCCCCATGTTATTGGTCCTATTGTCCCTTTGCGTGGGTGCTTAAACTTATTTAAATTGTGATTATCTCAGGTTTGGCTGGTCCGATTGACTGAAGGTTAGTTTCGTTCAACTCTGCTCGTGACTGCCTTTCGTCCTTAGCCCAGCTTGCCCTGCTAAAGATTTTTAGAAAGATTTTAATCTTGTTACGCCAAAGAAGTATAACTTCTTACGTGCGTACATAAGTACATACGCACTTTTTTTCAAAGCTTTGTCAAAAGCCTTTATTATTTCACCATATGATGAAGCATGAATGATTCTGCTGTGGAGCATAAACTTAGTATAAAAAGTAACACTGTTTTCGAAAAGAATAATGCCTATGAGTTAACAAGCCGATTTTACCACTTTGAGTTTTACTCCCAGAGTGGATAATTAGTGTCTCCAATTAACCAATAATTGTTTCGTCAACGAAATGATGCTCTCATTCCTCATTCTCTCTAATGATATGGCTTATCAAATAAATGCTATCTTGAGTTTAATGTAACAGTACCCTTAGTGAAGCGTTAAATTTTGAACTTTTCGCCTTCCATACGGCCTTCGGTGTTGTTGGGTGGCCGCGGTAGCCGAGTGGTATAGGTATCGGATCATGGCTTGCCTTGTCACGAGTTCGAGCCCAGTACCACTAAGGACCCGCCGTGTAGGACAGCGATGCACGTTAAATCTGTCGAGAGCTGAAACGTCCTCCCGTTGGTGTGGTGTGGTAGTTAGGAGAGGGGGTGCCAGCTCAGGTGTCATCCACGTCACTTGACCATGGTTCAAAATTACGTGGTCCGTCACCAAAAGCCCTCATGTAGCTGAACAGTGCGACGTTAATATTCAATCAATCAATGTCAATCCATCAAAACGAAAACGTATTCTCATTTTTTACGACTTTTAGGTGTGTAAATGCGTGTTTGCGTTTAACACTGTTCGTGTTAGAGATATTAATATTACAATCAAAGTTATCCCCTTATGTGCATTTCATAGATGAAAACAAGTTACGAAACTAAAACATCCCTTTGCATTAAACACCAAAAAATAATAATAATAATAATTTAAAAAAAACATAAAATAATCATCATCCTAATTTTTATTGTGTGATTGTGTGTGGGAGGGAGGGAGAGCGTTAATGTGTGAGTGTGAATGTTATTATTATTATTTTCTTTATTCTTTTATGCAGACATTTGCGTAATTTTTCATGTTAATGTTTTTTCTATGTGTGTTTATCTGTCCGTCAGTTTATTTATTTATTTATTTTTTTTTTGCTGCGTGATTGTGGGTGGAAGGGAGGGCGAGTGTGAGAGTGAATGTTACTGTGTATGTGTGTTTTTTTGTTGTTGTTTTTACGCAAATTTTACGTAAATTTTCATGTCAATGTATTTTTGTGTTTGTGTTTATGTGTTCGTTTTTTTTTTTTTTTGCTGTGGAAATGTAAGTGGGAGGGAGGGTGAGTGTGAGAGAGAATGTTTGTGAGTGTGTGCTTTTTTTTGTTCTTTTAGGCAAACTTTTGCGTAATTTTTCATGTTAATGGTTTGTGTGTGTGTGCTTATGTGTTCAGTTTTTTTTCTTTTTTTTCCCTGTGTGAAGGAGAGTGCGTAGGAAAGAGGGCGAGTGTGTGTGAGTGAATGTTCGTGTGTCTGTGCTTTTTTTGTTGTTGTTCTTTTACACAAACCTTTACGTAAATTTTCATGTTAATGTTTATGTGTGTGTGTGTTCTTAATATTTTTTTTTTGTGTGTAATTTAGGGTGGGAGGGAGGGTGAGAGTGTGAGAGTGAATGTTTGTGTGTTTGTGCTTTTTTTTTGTTCTTTCACTCAAACGTTTGCGTAAATTTTCATGTTTTGAGTGTGTGTTTATGTGTTCGTTTTTTTTTTATTTATTTTATTTTGTTGGGTGAATGAGAGGGTGGAGGGTGGGAGAAAGGGTGAGTGTGAGTATAAATGTTTGTTTTTTGTTTTTTTACGCAATTATTTGCGTTATTTTTCATGTTAATCTTCTTGTGTGTGTTTATGTGTTCGTCTCCTTTTTTTCTGTGTGAATATGGGTGGGAGAGTAGGAGAGTGTGCAAATGATATTTTACCATTGTATGCAAAAAATTATTTTAACTTTTCATTGTTATAGTTTTTATTTATGTACAAAAAAATATAAATTATTGTAACATCCTCATCTTTTCGTGATATGAAAGTGAATTGGTTGCAATTTGCAGATGCAAGTGAGAGGGCATGTTAATGCGTTTTTGTATTGAATGCTGTTTAGTTGTTGCCTTTTCATAAGTTTGCATTATCAAAAGAATACATAAAATTAAACTTATGTTGTCTTACTTAAGAATATCTCTTTGCATTTGCATAAAATCAAGTCTTCCCTACAGAAAGTGATTTTTAAACAAAAATCGCAGTTAAGACTGTCTTCGGTAAAAGTACGAGAGCTTGAACTAAACACGAAACACATTTTCAGGCAGAAAAATCCCTCAATTTCCATGGAAATTTGCAAAATTATAACTCATACCTGCGTTAACAATATAGTGATTTTAAATATTTCAAAATATTTCATGAATACTTTTTCTTTTTTGTTTTAATACTTGAAGGCATAGCCCATTTAACATTACGGTATAGGAGAAAAATCGCCAAACGCATTTTACACCAGAAAAAATGAATCAAATCGGTTAAAAAAGGGATATATGATCAATAATGCTGCTCTATAAAGGATATAGTGAAGCTAGAATATCATATTAAATTTTCCTTTCTTATGTATCTAAAAAAATATTCCGAATTCGGGTCCTGTTCTTTAACATTAACAGAAGACAGCCTTAAGGAATAGTTTCTTCCAGAGGATTAGTAGAAGAACCCGAATAATAACAGTTAAAAATTACCAATCTTATTTGTGTTTCACTAGACAATGTGTCAGAGTTTCAAATAGCATTTTCAACCATATTGATAGTTCACACAAAATGGAAATTATTTGGAAGAGTAAACTCCTTTTTCGTTTCCCTTATATTAATTTTTGTTTAAAAATTATTAAAAGATATATTACCCCTTCACAAACGGAATGAATTTACTTGTGCTAGAGATCAATCCTGTGGTCTTGTCAACCACACAGTAGATGCGAAAAAACTCCAAGCCGAGCTAAATTCCTTATCTGAATTTTGAAGCATATAATTTTACAAATATAATTATGCAATCCTTCACTTTATGCAATCAGGTGTTTTAATTATCGACACTGGTAAACGCATTGCCGGAGTTTATTCCCCCCAGGTAAACTTTGTTCTTAGTTTAATAGCATATTCTGATTTAATGCCTGCATTTATGAAAATTAACTCTTGCTGAACATCGGATTCAAATAAACATTAATTACTAAAAAAGTTGAATCCAGTTGATTATTAAACAGCAGTTAATATGAAAACAAAAATATAAAACTTATATGAATTGAAACAGCCGTGTTGACATCCCAAGCCACCCTTGACAATTTATACAAAAATTTTAAATGGTGTTTAATCCCTTAAGTGGTAAATGTTTTTGCCCAAAATGTTACAAAAAAAAGCACATTTGCTTATTACATATAATTAAGCATAATACTTAACAGAATGCGAAAATGAAAAAAAAAAATTTCTCTTCATTTTCAATTTTAATGCTTTCACAGTATTTTATTTATAATTGGGGAACATAAAAAAACCTTAAATGTTTTCCTTTTTTAAGTACACTCTGCATGAAAAAATAAGGTTTCATATTTTAAAAAAATTCTCTCATATTTACGAAAAAAAAAAAAAAAAAAAAATCAGGCTCGTACCTTTTTTTAAATGGTTGAGGTTTTTGTGGGAGTGTGCATATACATATACATATGCACACACAATTTGAAGCATGGTATAAAGCTTAATATATCATAGCAAAGGAGAAAGAGATAATATCGTCTTTTTGGATTATGTATTCTCTTTTATTTCTTTTCAAACAACAAATTTTTCATTGCCTTTCTAATCTCTATTCTTTATCGAACATTTTCAAGAATCCAAATTCCTGCCATCAATGAAAAATTCCCTCCTTCACCGCAAAAAAAAATCTCGGATGAAAATTATTTCAGTACCATAGACAGACTATACATCTCTTAAAAACACGAACTACCACTAAAATCTCATTAAAACAATTAAAAATATGCGCAAATGTAAGATACAAAGAAGAAAATATCAGCGCACTTA